GCAGAGACGGTGCGGAGCGAGGATGAGGGAGCGGGAGGAGAGGAGAGGGGAAGACGAGGATGGGGACGGAGAGTGGGTAGGAGAAGGCAGGGTAAACGAAGGGTGGAGGGGGCATGGGGAGGGTTACGAGGAGGAGAATGGGTGAAGGAGGAGGATGAGGAGCACATAGTGCTGATGACGGCGATGATGACACCGAGCAGGTGGATGTCAAACAGACAGACTTCATCCATATAGACAGACCTTGACATAAGCTAGGCACCGAAGTCTTGCGGCAGGGCAACACGATGATGGTGGTTGTATGATTGTGGTGCGGATTGTGATGGTGATGGCCATGGTGATGTGTTTCGTGATGGTGTTGGTTGGGATTGGGAGGCACTGAAGGGTTCGAGGGAAAGGAGGAGAGAAGAGGAGACGGAGTATTTGAGAGGAGGAGCAAGCATGGGGAAGGAGATTTGGGAGGGCGGGGAACTAGTAAAGAGGGAGCATCGAGTGGTCGCAAGAGGGAGGTGGCTTGAGGCGGAGGGTCAGGACGTGGAGGGAACATGCCAAGCAACAGGGATAACACATACGCATATGCTACGTGCTTGCTATACCATGCCACCGCCTCCACACTGCCCCCCAGGGACATGAACTCACAACTGGCGCCTCCTCGACACTGCCCATACACGGCCACCGCCTCTACACCGTCTCCGACCTAAGTCAAGTTCTGGCCTGCTCCGCTCGCAGCCTGCCCCAAAGCTGGCAGGACCTTCAGCGGCCCGACACGCTTCTAGAGAGTCTGGGGGCCCGCTAGCTCCTCAGGGCGCCTCCTCTGATGGGTTGATGGTCCCCGATGGACCACATCTGCAGGGTATGCATGCGTGGCTGCAAACAAAAGAGTTCATGAAACCATGAAGTAACAATAAAAACAAATATAGCAACATGAGCCAACATAATATTATGATGAGCGTGTACTTCGTATGCAACATGTATGATTTTACATGTTATATTCAAGCTCAATCATTTTTATGTTGTCGGTATTGCTGCTTCATGAATTGTATGATGCAGGTTCTTGTGCATTTCTTAGATTATATATAGCTGGTTGAAGTTCGATGTGTAGTTTTCTAGCGCAGCGCGCGCCTCACGAGCCGCGCGGCCTCTCGGAGGTCGGTGGATCACGTCGGGGGCAACACCGAGGGGCCTGCGGAGAGGAAGGGGGTGTGAGAGAGAGAGAGAGAGGAGAAACAAAAAGGAGAGAGAGAGAGAGAGAGAAACAACAAAATCACAAGAGGATCTATTGGGAGGACGAAAAGAGCGAGAGAAAGAGAGGGAGGGCGGGCGAAGGAGAGAGGGGGGGAGAGGGGGGGCGAAGCGGGAGAGGGAGACAGAGAGAGAGAGAGATAGACTGAGAGAGAGCAGAGGGATAATGAGGAGGACGAAGAGAAGGAAGGAGACAGGGAGAAGAGAGGATATGAGCGGAGGACAGAAAAAGAGGAGAGAAGGGAGAGAGGATGACGAAGAGAGAGACGAGGAGAGGAGTACGAGGAGAGGAAAGGAGGACGAAGAGAGTGAGAGAGAGAGAGAGAGACAGAGAGACTGAAAGAGAGAGAGAGAGAGAGAGAGAGACAGAACGAGCATACGGGGACGAGGAGAGCGAGAGGGGGACGAAGAGAGGGCAGGAGAAGGTGCCACGGCGCGAACCTGCTGTAGGCCATTTTGGCCCCAGCGGCGGCACAGCCCAGCGGCGGCAGAGCGGGATGGACCTCGAGGTGGTCTCTTCCTCCTCCTCTTCGTTCCCCCACCGTTCCCCCGTCGTCGGCCCTGATCGTTGGCGTCGTCGTCGTTGTCGTCGTCGCTGTCGTCGGCGTCTTCGACGTCGGCGTCGTCGTCAACGAAGTCCTCGTGACCGTCGTCAACCTCGTCGGCGACGCCGCGGTCGTAGTCGTCGCCATCGTCGTCGCCGTCGTCGACGTCGGCGCCGGCGTCGCCAGGCAGATGCTGAGCAGGGCGCGGAGTTCGCCAACGCCGTGCAGGGCGCGGAGTTCGCCGACGTGCCGTTCGCCGACGTGCCGTTCGCCGACGCCGTGCAAGGCGCGGAGTTCGCCGACGCCGTGCTCGGCCCCGCCGACGCCGACGTGCCGTTCGCCGACGTGCCGTTCGCCGACGCCGTGCTCGGCGCCGCCGACGCCGACGTGCCGTTCGCCGACGCCGTGCTCGGCGCCGCCGACTCCGAGTTCGCCGACGCCGTGCTCGGCGCCGCCGACGTGCCGTTCGCCGACGCCGTGCTCGGCGCGCTCCCGGGCTGCCGCCATCGCCGGGCGCCGCAGGCCGCCCCAGGGAGGATCGCAGGAGGGGTTCAGGGGGGCTCCTCCCCCTCCTCCTCCTCCTCCTCCTCCCCTTCCTCCTCCTCCTCCTCCTCCCCCGTCCTCCCCGTCCTCCTCCTCCTCCTCCTCTCCTCCTCCTCCTCCTCCTCGTCCCTCCTCCTCCTCCTCCTCCTCGTCCCCTCGTCCCTCTCCCCTCCTCCTCCTCCCCTCCTCGTCGTCGTCGTCCTCCTCCTCCCCCCTCCTCCTCCTCCTCCCTCCTCTCCTCCTCCCCCCCCCCCGTCGGGCTGCGCTACCCGAGGGGGTCGAGCGGCACTCCGCAGCCTGGGGGGCGGAGCTGGCGCGGTCGCGCTGGGCCCAGGCGCGCAGCGACAGCCGGGTTGAGGACCCCCCCCGTCGCCCCGACCGAACCCGATCCGACCCGACCTGGTCGGGTCGGGTCGGGTCTATCCGATCCGATCCGATCCGATCCGTTCGATCCGACCAAATCCGATCCGATCCGATCCGATCCGATCGCCCCGATCCGATCCGATCCGATACGATTCCGATACCGATTTGATCCGATCCGTTCGTTCCATCAGCTTGCCAGGAGATTCGCGCTCTTGCTGACGCGTGGGACCTCAATGTTGTCAGGCACGGAGACCAGGTTGATCGCGGCGAGATGAGCTCCGGGGGCCCGCGCCAGTGGGTACATGGCAATCAGTATTCAGTTCCAGGTTTGATTAAGGTTGGTTTTTCCCAGATCGGATCAAGAGCAGGTTTCATCGGTCAGCAGGTCGGCGTTGGCGATTCTCGGCGCGGACTCGAGGCGGCGGTGTCAGTTGCTGCCGGGGCACACCGTCTTTTTCATTCCAAGGAGCGCGAGCTCGCGCAGCGCCTGCTCTCCGGCCCGGGCAGTTTCGTGCTTAACAGGTCGTGCGACGCCACGCCGATGTATTTGAAGTTCGGTTCGCTCACAAGCCTCATGACCAGCGCGAGGTTCTTGAAGCGCATCGATTCTGTTGACCCTGGCTATCCCCCGCGGTGGACCACAGTTTCTTACGACACCTGGAAGGCAGAAAATCCAGAATCTCGGTCCCCGCAGGCTGGCGTGTTGGAAGTGTTCGCGTCTACGGCCGTCGTTGCTCATGCTGCTGGAGGCGATCCGCACGTCTCTGCCCCCCCGTGGTCCAGTCCATTGCCGAGCCACCCAGGATACTTCGAAAGGGGACTTCCAGTTGCGTGCACGATGGCGTCGAGCGCTCGTCAGAGTTCAACGCCGCGGCCATCGTCCGCTGGGCGTCGGACGGCGGGCAAGAGGGCAATGTCGGCATCATCGGCGACGTTCCCGACAATTGCAGGGCGAACTTCCGCAGCAAAAAGTACACGGCAGGTTCTTGCGAGTGAATGTTTCGACTTGGAGGGGTTTTCCGAAGGGCTTAAGCGACCCCTCCTCCTCCTCCTCCTCCTCCCCCTCCTCTTCCTTCTCCGCGTCCTCCTCCCCCGCCTCCTTCTCCTCCCCTGCCCCTCCTCCTCCTCTTCCTCTTCCCCCCCCTCCCCCTCCGCCTCCTCGGGTCGCCTAGGTCCCAGGGGTGGCCCCCCCTAGCGGGTTGCTCTGATTCCGAAGTCTCTGCGCGCCTCCCCCCCCCTGGCCCCCCTCCGAGGCCCCGACTGGTTCGCGGCGCGCCCGTTGTTCCGAAGGGGGGATTGTTTGATTCCGAGGCGGTTGGGGAGGGGGGTGGGCGAGGCTTTCGAGCCCCAAAGGAGGCGCCTCTGGCCTCGTCCTTCCCGCATTTTCTCGCGCGCCCAGAGGCGCCCTGGGTTCCGCCCTGGTTGCGTGCATGCAGGATCCAGGACCGTATCCAGGGATGTCCGTCCCTTCGCGCCTCGAGGGGGCACTAGGAGCATTCGAGCATTTGTATTTCTCGCACTTCGGCTCTCCAGGGGCACTCGGATGTTTCGCATTTCGGGCCTCCAGGTTCACTCGCATTCCTTTCATTTTGGCACCCCGGGGGCATTTTTCGAGCTTCCAGGAACCATTCGCATTTCCCGCATTTCGGGTCTCCGCGGGGGCACTCGCATTTCGCGCATTCCAGACACCCAGGGGCACTCGCGTGTTTCGCATTTCGGGTCTCCAGGAACATTCGCATTTCTTTCATTTCGGGCCCCCATGAGCAATCGCATGTCTCGCATTTCGGCCCCCCAGGGGCATTCGAATTGCACGCATGTCGGGTCTCCAGGCTCGAGCACTCGCATGTCTCGCATTTCGGCCCCCCGGGGGCATTCGCACGTGTCGCATTTCGGGCTTCCAGGAGCATTGGCATTTCTCGCATTTCGGGCCCCCAGGGGGTTCTTAGGCCGCGCCCCACCCGCCCGGCCCGCACTTCCTCCGACGCGAGGGCGGGGGAGGAGGTGGAGGGCAAGGAGGAGGAGCAGGGCGAGGAGGATCAGGGGGGGGAAGGGGGGGGAGGAGGGCGACGACGACGACGAGGGCGGCAGGGGACGTGGAGAAGGCGGACGGGGAGGAGGGGGAGGGGGGGGGAGGAGGGAGGGGGTGGGGAGGAGCAGGACGGGGTATGACGGCATGACGGTATGACGGGCGGCTTTCGTGGCCAGGGCGTGGCGAGCATTCGTTCGCACCCAGATGTTGTTTGCTCGCCTTGCGACAACGTGTTGTACGATTTGTGGGCAGGGTGTTGCTGTCACAAGTTGAATAACATGATGGACGAGTCTGGGGGCGACGGCAAATTCACTGGCCACGTGCGCGCTTGTCACTACGTGATGAATGTGAATGAGCGGCGGAACAAGCTGCAGCGCGCGCTCAGACAGATCGTCGAGAGAGAGCTGGATGTCATCCCAGGTGCGCCGCCCCAGTGCTTCGTGGAGCGTTCGCGGGAGCTGATCAGGAGAACGCGCCTTGTTCGCACGCAGCTGTACCGGGCCAGGATCGACGAGTTCGGGGAGAGTCTCGTTCCGATCCGCCGTGGGAAGACCGCCGAGAAGGCAGTTCCGAAGCTTTTAGATATGTTGAACGGAGACTTCCGTCGGGCACCAGTCACCCATTATTGCAGCGGTTGTTGCCGGAACGAGGACGGGGTGACAACTCGCGAGCAGCAGGTGGCGAGTGACGAGCGCGCCGAGCGCCCCCTGCCACGCCGCGCTGCTCACCCACTGGGCCCCCAGGAGGCCAGGATAGGATGGGGCCCAGGGGTGATCGACGAAAGGATGGAGGAGGGAGACGGAGAAGGACGGGGGCGGAGGTGGAGGCGGGCGGTGGAGGGGAGAAGGTCCAGGGGGATATCTCGCCCCGCAGGTGGACAACGTCGTCGCGGCCATCGCGGGCGCCGGCCTCTTCGGCGGGGCGCCCCGCGCTGCTCCAGCCAAATCGCGGCGGCTGTCAGTCTACGATTGCCTAGGCAGTTCGGCGGTGGGGGGGAGCCTCTGGGAAAGCTTTCGGGGGCGGGGTCCTGGGGGGAGCTCTTGCCCGGCGAAGGTCCTGGGGGGCCGCCCGAGGAGGGCCCTTGGGGGAGGCCCCGACAATGGCGGCCAATTCGTTCGAGAGTTTTTCATCGCCGAAACGTTGAAGGGCCCCGGGGGAGCCCCACGAGGGCTCGGCACTAGGGGGGGATTTGCGGCGCGGGGGCGGAGGGGCACGAGGAGGAGGGGGAGGAGAAGGAGGTGGAGGACCGGGGAGAGGCAGGAGAAGGAGGAGGCGGGGGAGGAGGAGTCGGAGGCGGAGGGGGAGGAAGGGTGGCCCCCTCCCCCCCCTGCTTGCCCGCCTTGGAGCAGCAGGGCGCGAGCAGGTCCTCTCACAGCTGCCGCGTTGCTTCACGACCTCCTGCCGCGCGCCTGGAAGCTGGCCTTCGGCGAGAAAGTGCCCACCGCGCAAATTGTCGGCGGGGGCGACTACCATTTGTGCGCGAGAGGCAAAGCTATTAGGTCTCGTCTTTTTCTGACGTCACCCGATTCGCCTTACAAGATGCTCGCCCGAATGCTGTGCACCGTGCCCGCCATCCATTTGCTTCAGGAGATTCAGATGCTCGATGACAAGGGCGGGTCGCTGGCAATGTTGAACAAGCCTTACAAAAACCCGTTTTTGGAGTGTGCTCGTTGTTATGAAGACCTTTTGTGTAGTGAGGCATCCCCGTTGTTGACCTTGCTGGCGACGCAATTCGAGACGGCTGAGTTCTCTCGGGTGTCCGAGGTGATGGCTTACGTTCTCGGGTTGCGTTTGGGTCTGGCGGGGCGTGCACGGAGGAACCTCACTAGCTTTTATGCCGATTGGAGGTACAAGCTGATCGCGTTGTCTGACGACAACTTGAGCGCTGAGTCGCGGAAGGCGACGGCCATCGAGTTCTGCCACTTGGAACCGTGCTGTTTGGACGATCATTTTACAAGAAAGATCCGTGGACTCGTGGGGGATTCGCCAGATGCTTTGATGGGCCACTCAGCTCTGCTGCGCTCTTTGAAATTATGGGGTGACACGGGCTTGCTGTCTAACATGGGCACGGAACGTTTATTGTCGACCCAGAGGAAGGCGGCGCCGTCCAGGTGCGCAGTTGAGCGACATCTCTCATGCGGTTTCTTGTCTTTCATTCAGGCGATTCACTTGAGATGCGGCGGCCGGGGCGCGCGCAAGATCACCCGAGGGGGTGCCAGGCGCGCCGGGGCCCCCATTAAAGCCAGCAAGGCCGCCAGGAAGTCGAAGAGGTCCCAGGCCCATTGCGGCGCTAAGATGATCAGCCGCTTCGCCATGTGGAGTAATTGTTGACGCTTCGCGCGTCCCCACCAGCCCATCTCTGCGCGAACGAGATGGGCACGCAAAGAATGGGTACAATGCCCAACAGCAGTTCCTGTTCATTTTGAACAGGACTCGCTGTCCGCGCCGCCGCGGCCCGTGTTCATTTGAGAGAGGCGGCCGCCTGCCCAGCAGCGGCCGCTGCTGGTTTGGGACAACATTTGTTGTTGGGCATTGTACCCATTCTGTCGGCCATTTCGGGTGTCCAAACCATCAAATGCCAGGTGTTCGAAGGAAGAGTGCCGACCATCGGCAGTTGCTCTCCTGCTCCTCCTCCTCCTCCTCCACCTCCTTCCTCTTCCTCCTGGTGGCGTCTTGGAGGTCTCTTGAGTCTGGCGGGCCCCTGGGCCTTGCGAGCGGCCGGGCGGCGCCCCGCCCGCCCGCGCGCAGGGCCCGAGAGGAGGGTCCAAGACGTCTCTTGGCGCCGCCTTCTTGGAGGACATCGATCAAAAAAGGGTTGAGCTTTAATTAGTTAATTAGGGTTGCCCCTCGGGAGCTCCCCGCGTCGCCTTCTGGGGCGCTCTTGGGCCGCTCTTGGAGCGCCCCTGAGCGCTCTCGGGGCCGCCCCAGGGCTCATGGGCCCCTGTGGGCGCTGTATCTTCGGACCATCTTGGAGCTATCCTGAGGCCTCGGCTGGGCATCGGAAGCGCGAAGGCGAGAAAGCCAGGCACGTTGATTTTCCTTCGGGTTCCGAAACATCTTGGCCTCTTGGGGGCCTCTTTGGGGAGCTCTTTGGCCTCCTTGGAGCTGTCCTGGAACGGTCCTGGGACATTGGGGGCATATTCGCAGACATCTTGATATTGAGGCATATTGCCCTATCTTGAGCAATATTCGAGGCAATCTTGGGCTCTCTGAGGCCCTCTCGGAGCCGTCTTGCGTCATCTTGGACCCCCCGACGCGTCGCGGCCCCCCTCGTCCAGGTGCATGGGTCCATGGGGGGTGGGGGAGGGGGGGGGGGGGGGAACCATCCCCGACGGGGTAGAAGGAGGGGTGGAAGAGGAAACTCTCTAAAACACCAACGCCCTAAAGGGCTGGTAGGATTTGACCCAGGTGTTGGCGAGGAAGGAAAGCTGCACTAAGAGAGGCGCTGCGCGGCTGAACAGATTTTCTCACCGTCAGCAGATGGCAGATCGGAAGCAGTTGTGGGCAAACATGTCGGAGGAGGCGAGGGATTCGGCCTTGCTCGAATTGCAGGCTGCGGCCAAGGGCCCGAGGCCCGCTTTAACCCCTGCCTCGTCCTGTCAACTGAGCCCCCCCCCCCAATCGTAGTGTTTGCTGCAGTTGTAGTATTTTCGTCGAAGTCGTAGTCGTTGTCGTCGTCGTTGAAGTCGTAGCGGTAGCCGTAGTCACGCTTGGAGTCGGAAGTTGTGTTTTTGGAGTTAGCAGAAGAAGTAGAAGTAGTAGCCGTAGTAGTGGTAGTAGCAGTAGTCGTAGCAGTAGTAGTAATAGTAGTAGTAGCAGCAGCAGTAGTAGTAGCAGTAGTAGCGTAGTAGTAGTAGTAGTAGTAGTAGTAGTAGTAGTAGTAGTAGTAGTAGTCGTAGTAGTAGTACTAGTCGTAGTAGTAGTAGTAGTAGTAGTAGTAGTTGTAGTAGTAGTAGTAGTAGTAGTAGTAATCGCGGTGGTGGAGTTTAGCTCTAGTGGCTGTGGTGCGAGGCTTTCGTGGGACGACAGCAACCCACCCCCCCCTCCGATCCAACGATCCCGTTGCCCTCCCCGCGCGAAGGAGGGCTCGCCACCGACGCCGATGCCGAAGACGCACGAGGAGAACGTCGGGGCGTCGCTCTGGGGCTGCAGCACGGCGCAGTCGCCCATTGATCCCGATCTTTTTGAAGGGGCAATCCGCGAGGTCACTGGCACCCGCGACCGGACGCCCGGGCTGACTGGGAACTTGGCCGAGCTCAGATTCAGATTCATGTCAGGCCTTGTCGTCCACGACCAAGGCCCAAGGAGGAGGGGGGGAGGGCGGGAGGGAGGGGGGGGGGTGATGGAGGAAGAGGAGGAGGTGGAGGAGGTCAAGGAGGAGGAGGAGGAGGGGGAGGAGGAGGAGGAGGAGGATAGGCCCCCGGGGCCGCTGCGATTGGCGCTGCCCCTCCCCCTGGTTCACGCATGGGATGCTGCGTGGGTGCGTGGGGCCCCGCCTCCTCTACGCATAGTATATAAAATGTGCGTCCTCTTGCTTTTCCCAGCAAGGGGATACACCTCCCCCTCCTCCTCCTCCTCCTCCTCCTCCTCCTCCTCCTCCTCCTCCTCCCACTCCTTCTCCTCCTCCCTCTGGGTGAGTCGTTCGGGCCCAGCGCCCTTTGCGCCGCTTGGAGGAGGAGGGGCCAGCCCCATCCCCACCCCCCAAGGCGCCGAAAAGGGGCAGCGCGCCGAGTGCAAACTCACGCCTGGACCCCGCGAGGCGGCGCCAGGGGCATTTTTTCGGCACCGCTGACGCACCTGAGGTGTCCCAAGAGGTGAGGGGTATGGCTTTTTCTTCCGACGCCAACCCTTCTTTTCCTCCTCCTCTTTCTCCTCCGTCGTCGTCGTCGTCGTCGTCGTCGTCGCCCTCTTTCTCCTCCCTCTCCTCATCCCCCCCTCGCCCTACTCCTCCTCCCTCTGGGTGAGTCGTTCGGTCTCTTCATTATGCGGTGAGTCGTTCGGGCCCCTCCTTCTGGGTAAGTCTTTCGGGCCCCGTCTTCCAGGGTGAGTCGTTAGGGCCCCTCCTTATTGGGCGAATCGGTCGGGCCCCTCCTTCTGGGCAAGTCGTTCTGGTTAAGTAGTTTTTGACGTCGTTCCAGCCTCGCACATTGGAGCCGCATCCGCGGCTGAAAGTTGGCGCCCCAGCGGTTGCGCCGCGTTTCCGTTTAAATGCGAAGGGGTCCTTCTCATGCATCTGCAAACCGTTTTCACTCTCGACCTGAAATCGCGAGACCCACTTTCTCGTCTTTGTCCCACCCCCACCTCGCGCGCCCCAAACTTCGGAGCGGGTCGGGGCGGGGCTCGCGGGCGGGCGGCTGGGCGTCGACGGCGGGTTCGCGTCGCGTCGAAGTGCGGCGACCATTCCATCGTTGCGGGCGTTCAAGGTTGGGCGTTGACGGCGGGCCGAATCGGCCCGCGTCCCGAGGCAGGCGACGTCCGCGGTGTCAGGAAATGCCGCCGATGTCGACGCGGCGCGAATCCGCCGTAAACGCCCAGACGCTTCCCAGGCACGATACCTGAGCAGCAGAAGTTCGTTGCCACGTTGACTTGCACGCAGTGCCACCCGGGCGTGTGCCGCTCCAAGATGGATCCCGGAGTCTCGGTGGCCTCGCGAGCTTTGGCCCGGGCGGCGGCTGACTGGCCAGCGGGCGCCGCGCTCCGGGTCTCAGTCGTTCAGCATGACGGCGACGTTTGCCATCGGTGCGCACTCAAGGCCTGGCGTGGAGGGCGGGGGGTCGGAAGGGAGGAAGAGGGGGGGGGGGGGCTGGAGGAGGGGGAGGACGAGGGGGGAACTGAGGGCGAGGACGAGGTGGAGGTGGAAGGATGGGGAGGGTGGGAGGTGGAGGGGGAGGAGGAGGGGGGGGGGAGGGCGAGGGGGAAACTCAGGACGAGAAGGAGGAGGAGAGGGCGGGCGAGGCGGCGGGGGAGGAGGAGAAGGAGGATGTGGAAGAGGAGGTGGGGAGAAGAGGTGCAGGCGCGATCGATATCGTGGGAGACGCCGCGTCCGCATTTCGGAGATGGCCGAGATGTCGATTCGACCTCCTGGCGGATTGCATCGGGCCCCTCTTGGAGCTCCAAGATGGCCCATCCTAAGATGGCCGAAAGAGGGCTCCGAGATCGGGGGCCCAAGATAGGTCGCGCGAGAGCTCTTTCGCGTGACCGATGTCGGGGCCCTCTCGGGGCCCTGCCGGGGCCACCGCGCCCCCCCCCCCCCACCCTTGGGGCTGCAAGATGGCCGAAAGATGTGCCTGGGAGCCCTCTCGCGTGACCGATGTTTGGGCTCTCTTGGGGCCCTCTTGCCCCCCCTGGGGCCCGGGGCCCTCGGGGGGTTGGGGCATCTCTTGGAGCTCCAAGTTGGCCGAAAGAGGGGCCCGCGTCGCATCCGACTCGTTGGCCCGCAGGCGGCCCAGGAACAATGCGCCAGTGCATCATGTATTCAGGAGCGCTCGAGGCCTGGCGTGGAGGGCGGGGGGTCGGCGGGGGCGGGGGGGGGGGCGCGGGGGGAATGGAGGATCGCGGGGAGGAAAAGAAGCAGGAGGACGAGGACGAAACCGAGAACGAGAGGGAGGGGCATAGGCGGCATAGGGCGGGCGAGGCGGGGCGGGGGAGGAGGAGAAGGAGGAGAAGGAAGAGGGGGGGGGGGGGGAGAGACGCGGGAAAGGCATTCGGAGACGGTGGTTCCATCACCCTGGCGGCTTGCTCGCTGTCGCCGACGGGGCAGATCGAGTTGGCGCGCCGCGTCGACGAAGGCATTGCTTTTGTAACGGGGGAGAAGATGATGGCGGATGTTTGGAATCACGTTGGAGATCTCTCAATTGCGACGTGCCTCCGTTTGATCAGAGTCGAGCCGGCGTCTATGCAGGAGGCGCGCGACCTTTTCGTGCGGTATGATTATCGTGCCGAACCAACTGGGGGTGATGCAGCGGTCGTGTGGCCACGGCCGCTCGCTGCCCCGGCTGCGGCGGCGGGGCCGAGCAGGCCTAGCGTTTTCGAGGAGGCCGTTGCGTCCATCAGAGCAGCGGCGCTGAAGCTTGTCGGTCTCGGGGCCGCCCAGGAGGACCAGGATCCGACGGCCGGCGGCAGCGACGACGATGACGACGGTGGGGCCATAGCTGCATTGGAGGCGATCGAGAAGCCCGAACCCAAAACAAAGCCCAAAGCAAAACCCAAGGCCAAGACGAAGCCCAAAGCCGCAACATCAAAAGTGAAAGTGGTCGTCGTAAAAATGAAGCTGAAGAAGGGTAAGACGGATATTCCAGGCGGGCTACTGGCTCCGGGCGCACCAGAGGACCCCGGCGGGCCAGGTGCAGCAGAACCCCCAGGTGAGCCAGTCGATGCAGTGTTTTTGGGCCCTGTGCATCCCCCGGATGCCGCCGAGCCAGCCGCGGCTGGGCCCCCGCCGCCCCCAGAGGTGCCCAGAGAGCACCGCGGGGAACCTTGGGGTGAGTTCAGCATTGCGCCAGTGATGAAGAGGATGCCCGACGGCACCAAGCTTCAAGTCAGTTGGGGTTGCAATTGCCACTGCCATTCTAATCGTGCTGGTTTGCCCACTGACAACCCGTGTCAGAAGCAAGTTTGTTTTCCGCCTGGCAGCCCCCCCGACGTCGTGACCGAGGCACTTCGGCACGCAAAGTGTTGGCTTTTATTCGGGCGGGCCGTTGCCAGCGACGACCCCAACGGGCGAGAAATTCATTTGAAGGAGATGGGCGGCAGGAAGTTTAGAACCACGTGCCCCGCAACGCCCATGGCCGAATTGGATCGCATGGCGGGTGATCCTGCTGCCCGTTTGTACCCGATCTAATTGGCAGCGCCAAGGTCAAATGTTCAATGTCATTCAGAGGCAGATTTCGCCTCCCGACGCTGGGGGTTTGGAAGGGGGAATAGGATTGGGGGCGAGGGCGGGATGGTCGAGTCTTGATCCTGCGTTCCCAGTCAAGTGCTTCTCTCTCGCTTGGGGTGATATGCGAGCTAGGGTGCGGGAAGCAGTGCTAAAATGTTGATCGCATCTCAGGTCCTCGAGACAGTTGTTCTTTGCAAGGGGGCCGAAGAGCGAGGGCGCGGGGCGGGGTGTGGCGTGGAAATCACTCGGCGGGCGCGAAGAGCGCTGCGCCTCGCTCGTCGCGGTCAGCGCTGGAGAGCGGTTCGTCTCGCAAGCGGCCTCGGGTGTGCGCGATGATAACAGCGTTTCAAGCATCGGCGGGCCCCCGTGGATTTCGAAACAACGTGCTCGTCGGCCCATCCGCGGCCCCCGCCATTCCCTCCAGCCCCGCGCCCTTGGCAAGGGCGCCCAGCATCCTCTCACTCGGGCCTAGGGCCAGGGCGTTCGGGGGTCATCGCGAGGGGGGGCTGCGGATGGGTCGAGGGGCAGGCCGCCCAAGTCGGCGCTCTGCTCCCTCCTCCCGCCACCCTCCCCCCCTCCCTTCTCCTCCCTCCTCCTCCTCTTCCTCCTCCTCCTCCTCCTCCTCCTCTCCTCAGCTCTCCTCTCCTCTACTCCCTCTTCTCCTTTCCTCCCAATGGCCGCGGACCTAAGAAAGCCACCCTCAAGGTGGGGCCCGAAGCGGCCGCCCAAGGATCGGGGCCCTGCGTTTTTTTCGGGTCAGGCTTTGTCGCGGCCCTCCCCCCCCTCCTTCTCACCCCCCTCCCGGAGATCACGGCGCCTCGCCCGTCGCGGCCCCGCGAGGGCGCCCTCGCCCGGCGCTCCTGACGTCAGACGAATGAGAGTGGTCGAGACCCCCGCCCCCGGCGCCCCCCTGCCCCCCCGCCCCCCGAGGGCCTTCGCTTTCGCTCGGAGCCGCTGCCGAGACAGGCCCGCCCCGAGCCGTGCGCACTTGGGGTTACAACGCAGAGGGCGCGCACATGGCGTCGTCAGCCAGCGACAAGGTCAAGGCCACGGGCGGCCTCTCTGAAGCGAACCCGCAGGCGATCGTCGGGCGTTTGATCACTGACAGTTGGTATTGTTGTTGGACCCCCCCGCCCCATTGCCCCCCCACGTGGCCACGCGGGGGGCAGGGGTCGAGGATTGCCAGCGAGGTCAAGGCCGCGGGCGGCCTCTCTGAAGCGAACCCGCAGGCGATCGTCGGGCGTTTGATCACTGACAGTTGGCATTGTCATTGGACCCCCCCGCCCCAAAGCCCCCCCATGTGGCCGCGCGGGGGGCAGGGATTGATTGAGTTTCGTGGATTCTGAGATAGATGGAATACATGTTTTTTTTCACAAAAGGGAGGGCCCGTGATCCGTT